TGTGATGTATAAACGTGTATTTGTACCATGACTTTGTGGTACGTGGCGTGGTCACAGCGGTTCCTGTTGATCTGGAGAACAGCTGACAGGCCGTGAATAACTCCTTTTCCACTCAGAATGTTGGAGGAGTTTATCTGAGCCTCGTTCACAAACAGCTGGAGGAGACACAGACGGTTTATATTCTAACGTTCAGGTGATGAAGTTATTGTTAATTATTGATTATTAGTAACCTTTCCGTCTCGGGGGAAGATGCCGAGCTGGAAGGAGAAGCCGAGCAGCGTCTGTTTGAATCCTCCAGGCTGAAGGTCGGTCTTCAGCAGACGCTCTGAAACCACCACGTGGTACCGAGTCGTGTTCACATCCTGTTTACGGCGACAAAATAAAAGCACAGAGATGTTTCCACTGAAACAAACTTACATATTTGATTTATTTTACTTTCATTTGCTTTGTTTGTACAGTTAGAAGTCAAACACAAACAAATAAAACCATGTCTGCAGATCTGCATATTATAGAATAGAGAGCAAATGTATTGGAAGTGATATGTTACATAATTAAGATAAGTTAAATAGTTTGATTATGTTGAAGCGGTGCATAATAAATGAACTATTACTGGATTTATTTACATTTATATATTCTTATATTTTATTATCTTTATGTTCTTTCTTTGTCTTTATTTCATCTTATGGATCTACACATATTTTATTATATATTTTTGATACGTTTCAGTATTACTTAAATATATAATCATATCATCTGAGAATAAACTGAGTTCTTTTCCTCTCACGGTTCAACCGCTGATGCAAAAAACAAAAGGTGCTCAGGGACGGCCTTTGCTAGGGCTGCTTATTGATTATATATTAGTACGTTACACAATGCATAAGCTGGCGTTGTGAAACAATCAACAGACTAAATTATTGATATGACAACGTTGACCATTCTGTTTGTTTCTCTTGGATCTTCAAGCACTTAAAAATCGATTTAAATTGGATAATACAAACTATTCTATTTCCTCCCTTGGAGAGAAAATGTGGCGTCGTCTCTTCCTTTAGGACCTTTTGTCCAGTTTACAATAAAGACACAAATTCTACTTCCTGTACCAGAGACGTGGCAGACATTTTGTGGAGGTAATCGGTGACGGCGGCGTCTGTCGGAGCGAAGATGGTGAACTCGTCCGCTTGCTCGATCTCGTCCGTCAGATTGTAATCCTGAACAAGACAAGCAAAACTGTAAACAAAGTTCACTGATATGATCACAAGAGTTTTAAAGAATGAGAAATGTGTTTGAGAGTTCGTACGATGAGATACGATCGGAACAAAGAGAACTCTGCTCTCAGAGAGAGAGTCGCCAGCAGACCTTCGCTCAGCTTCTTCTCAGGAACCAAAACCTGCAGACAGAAAGAAAAGGGTCAACGTTAGCATCGTTAGCATCGTTAAAGGGTCTTCTCCAACTTGGACCCTGTTTTAATATGTTATTGTGTCTGAATGACTAAAGAGGTCAAGTGATAAAGTAAGGAGTCAGACTTGAGAAGTGAGACTTCATTAGATACAATAACAACCAGACGGGATCGAGCCAAAGGTCAGAAACAGGTTTGATTTCTCGGTGGGGGTTTCCCCCATAATGTTGTCAGACAGATGTTAGCAGCTGACATCTGCAACGTTCTCCCTGAATACCTCAGCAGTTTGAAAAACCTGTTGTCCCCTTCAGAAAAACATGAGGAAGATAGCAGAATAGTTTCCGTTTACCGTGATCATCTTTGTACCTTATCAATGAGGTGGATCAGTCCATTGGTAGCAGCTACATTGGGCGTGGTGATGGTTGCTCCTCCGACAGATGTGAGCTGATGGAACAAACACACTGAATCACGCCTGAACATCAAAAGTAGAAAGTTTCCGAAACAAACTAAAACCTTGAAATGATTTACAGCTATGTCACTAAGACTCTCGTATCGCGGAGTTTTTCCTTTTCCTTAAATAAAACAGACTCAGTCTGCGGAGCTTAGAGGATGTTTGCTAACTTTTGTATGTGTTACACATGTAAATAAATCTAAATAAACTGTATGAAATATGGACGTTGCCTCGTGGGTGAAGAGGCGGCTTAACTCTTTAACATAGAGGTCTATGGGAAGTGGACATTTGAGAAACTGTTGTGGTTTAATTTCGGAGCATTGGAGGTTGCCACTTGGTATGAAATTTAAAATGAGCCCTTTGATCTAGTTTTGTGAACAGAAATGATAGAAAATGATGGTGAACCAGCCCCTCTGTGGACTCACCTCATTGGTTGTTGAAACAGGAAGTGATGTCTTGAGAAGGGAGGTCAGGGAGGAAGTGCTGCTCAGACTGGATAAGGGATAGTATCCTGGGATCATGTGATTTCTGTGATAAAGGGCGGATGGTTGTTACAGTTCAGTGCTAAAGTTAAAAAAAGACAACATGAGCCGGATTGAAATCAAGTGTGTGGTCACGCTGAGCTGTAACCTGATGAGACTCGGCAGGTTTCCCTTCGTGGTCCAGAAGGTTTTGTCCTCTGAAGACATTTTGGAGACGGCAACAGAAGACGGAACCAGGAGGGTGATGTTCTGATCCGACAGAGACCAGGACAGACCGGAGTCCTGGGACACGAGGACAGAAATATATTGTCTCAAAAAGACTTGCAAAAGGCTAAAAATGTGATGTTTGTTCTTCTGAAGATAAAATCAGGTCTTTGTGAATCCTAATCAACATTTGCAGCATAGATACAGGGTTCAGGGTTCAGGGTTCATGGATCATAAAGGAGGATCATAAAATGACATTTAGTGCCTTAAAAACTAAGAGAAGGAGTTTAAAATGACTTCTGAGAGATACAGGGAGCCGGTGTAGTTTGAGTTTTATGATCTCTCATTTTAGATTTTGTTAAAATCCCGGCAGCAGCATTCTGGATGCTCTGTAGTTTTGTAATAGCTGATTTTGGCCGACCAGCATATAGAACATTACAGTAGTGAAGAAGACCAGAAACAAAAGCATGATCAAGGTTCTCTGCATCCTGCTGGATTGGTAGACGTCTCACCTTCCCCATTGAACACATTATAAAAGGCCAATGAAGTAAAATGAGCTATAAAATTGAGGTCAGAGTCTAAAATGACACCAACGTTTCTGACTTCAAGGTTGGATGTCCCAGTTTAGCAAGAAACAGGATCCGTTGGGCCGACTGGGACGATCTCAGTCTTTAGTTTTAGGAAGTTCTTGTTTACTCATTGATGGCCGACACACAGTCAGTTAGATTATTATAGTTAGAGTATCACGGACAGCTGTGTGTCGTCAGCATAGAGCTGTGGAGATTCACGGTATTCTGACGGATTAAGGGTCCAAGTTGCATCATGTGGATGGAGAACATTACGGGTCCTGGGACGCCGCCCTGGGTCACATAATCGTCATTGTTTCTGATGTTGTGTTGATGTTGTGTTCTCTGATTTCCTTCCAGTAGAATGTGACTGAAACCAGCTCAGAGTTTCCTGTTTACACGTCGTAATTGTGTAATTATTGAGTTGATAAATGCTGGTCCGACTAAGGATCCATATGTTTTATGTGACACTCACAGTCGTCCATGTGTAGAACTCGGAGGTGTCTGGCAGAGACATCAGCACCTGAACGCATCACGAAAAAACTTTGTCAGGTTTGTTGGTGAAGATATATAAGATATATTTAACGTATGAACATGACCCTCACCTGTGCGACGTCACCGTAACATGCGCGTCCGTCACCAACGTATCCGTCGTCACAAACACACGTCCACTGAGAGGACAGCAGACGGCAGCTGGCCTGAACACAAAACACTTCATTAGACCTGGTTCATCGTCCTTCTGTCTGCTTGAAGTTTGATCTCCGGGACTTACTAAGTAGTGACAGCCTCCGTTTTCAGTGACACACTGATTCACAGCTTCACAGTCCTGCCCGTTTCCTTTGTAGCCGGCTTTACATGTGCAGTCACTCTGTTGGTTTAACAAGCAGAACTGAGTGTGACAATACTGAGACAGGTGTCTCTAGAAGAAAGAGGGTCAGATTTTAAAAAGGTGTGATGGTGTCACCTGTCCAGGTCCGACGTAGATGCAGGTGGCGTTGGAGTGGCAGCCTCCTCCGTCCGGACCGTCACAGTTGTTGATTGACTGACACTCGTCTCCGTCCTCCCTCCATCCGGTCAGACACTGACAGGTGTGAGTACCTGGTCCTGTCTTTATGCATTTAGCCTGCAGGGGGGCAGCACAGTGACGTCATCGGGTATTAGAAATGTGTTTTTATACACACAGTTTCTCCTGAGGTCAAATACGTCTTTATTTTAATCCTCTATATATATATATATATATTTAAGAAGGTTAAATCAGATTTCTAGAGTTTAATAACTGACTTACATTCAAACTGCAGCCGCCTCTGCGAGGCAGAGCACAGGGGTCTGACTCCACACAGGTGATACCGTCACCTTGGTAAGCAGGTTTACACTCACAGCTGAAATCACACACAGCAGGTAAACTGAACAATGTCGGCTCAGTTTATTTCATCTGTTCTCAGGTAACAGGTGAACTTCAACTGCATCACGGCACAAACTGCTAAAAGGCTTCATTATAAGTATGATGGCTGCAGGTAAACTCACCTGGTGGTTCCCAGTGGGTTGAAGTTGCATTCAGCATGGGCGTGACAGAACTGAGCCTGAACGCCACACGCCACCGTCATGCGATCGCAGAACCGATCGGTGAAACCCTTCAGACAGGAGTCCAGTTTACAGCGACCGTCTGAGTCCGGACGGTTGTCACACTGTCCGTGGATACAGGGACAGGCTGAGGACAGACAGGTGAGGTTTAACATCATCATGACATCACACCTACCTGTATGAGGTCACGAGAAGAGGTGAGTCAGACTTACTTCTGTCACACTTTGGTCCATATTTGTTGGAGGATGAGCAATACTGACAGCGAGAACCTCTGTAGTTTGAATCGCAGATACATGATCCATTTCCTCCAATGCCCTCAAAACACTACAACAGAAAAACACTTCCATTACCATCAGTCTCCTCCAAACACTACAACAGAAAACACTTCCATTACCATCAGTCTCCTCCAAACACTACAACAGGAAAACACTTCCATTACCTTCAGTCTCCTCCAAACACTACAACAGAAAAACACTGCCATTACCATCAGTCTCCTCCAAACACTACAACAGAAAAACACTGCCATTACCTTCAGTCTCCTCCAAACACTACAACAGAAAAACACTTCTAT